CCCCCCCCCCAGTCCCACTGAGGGGGAATGTTAGAAGGAGCCGTGATGCTGTGTGACTGCTCAGTGGCAGTCCCAACATGGGTGTTACCAACACCCTTCCAATCTCAACACAAAAGCACCACACCATGAGGGCTGCTGTGGGAAAAGCAGCTCAGCCAGACCTGACAGTGACACAGTTCCTATTACAGTGCACAAGTTCAAGCAATGAGTCCCTCAGGTGAGACAAAAATCCTAAAGTAATTTTTCTGTAAACAGCTTACATCTGTTCCTGTCTCTGCTGCTGTTTTCCACTTTTTATTATTGCATTGTGTCAACTTTCATGGGGTGTGAACCTTTAAGTTGCACCTATGGCTGGAGAATACCTCCTACACTGCTGGGAAGCATACAGGGTCCCTAGTGTGTGTATTATCTCCTTGGACTCGTTTAGGTGTTGAGGGTGATGGTTTGTAAGCCTACAACACCACGAGTTTTGGGAAAACCATCCAAGACCTGAGATCTCCAAGAACAAAATCTAGAAATGTGTCAGAAGTTAACAAATTTGTTCAAATGCCACCAATGCCTCTAAATTTAAGAGGCTAATAATAAAACTAAGTCGAGACAAACTGATCTTTGTCAACAACTTGAATATTAATAGCTGTAGACTGTATGCACTGTAATAAGAAAGGATAATATGAATGGCATTTTGGGAATTTTGTATACTTCTGATACTTTGTCATCCTTGGTGCCTGTTTAATGATTTCATGTGGAAAAGGTTTGTTTAGACAGCTGTAGTAGACATGGGTACCTTACTAAGAGCTCCAGATCTCTAGCTTTCTGTTTTTCTAGTTGGTTTTAGTCAGTGAAGAACATGGGTAAAAATTTATTAACAGGTTCTAATGCATCTGAAATTGTGGTGCAAGTCTACTTGTTAGAGCAGATCTGATGTGTGTTTGGATCAGATCCAGGCAGTTGTCCTCAAATATATTTCATGTGAAATAAGCATTTGGTATCCAAAAATTTAGATTTGTTGTAATGTTGACTCTGGAGCCACCTAGAGTAAATCGCTCCTAGTCTCAGATTCACTGAGAGCCTTTAAAAGTGGTACACTGGAGAAGAAATACCTCCCTTTGGCTCTACTGGTGGCATAAAAGCTAGATTACACACCCAGGAGCACTACTGACTCCATTGGTTTTACTTGTTTTTTGTGTTTGAAAGCAGGATAATGTGTTGATGGACAGGATGGTACCTGAGTTTCAGGTTGACATGAAAGATTGACCTTTAACGCATGAATAGTACTTAAAAAGAGCAGCATTTCATTGAAATAGGAAATAACTTTTTTTTTTAACTGAGATACCTTCTTTTGTCCTCCACTGCACAAGTCTTTGTAGCTGCTAGGCTGGACAAAGTTTAGTGCCTTTCATTCAGAAATGTCAGTTATTATGTTTTTATAGAAGGAGCATTCAGATAGTATATTCCTAGTGATGATTAATTCTTTCATCTGTTAAGGAACCATAGATAACACATGTAAACATGTTTGTTCAGTAAGATAGGACTGAGTCTCAAGAGAGGAGGTGGCAGTTGGGATTTGGTGTTGGTGGTACTATTATTGTTATCATCATCAACTTGCAGGAGTTAACACTCCATACTGTAGAACACAAATTAAGGGAAACATTTACATAGCTACCTTTAAAATAAGAAAAAAACCTCTTGCTTGACCCTCAGCTTGCAACTGAATTTTATGATCTGTGTATGTGGAAACATACACCTTTTTAGATGAAAATTTAGGTATTCTCTTGTTCTTCTATTGTTGTAAAGGGGAAAAGTAGAACCAGCTATTAGAATACATCTTAATTTGGCATTCAGCAAGGAATGACAGCTGCAACAACAGTTCTGTTGTAACTGTGTGTTTTCAATTCGTCATGAGAAATGTTATTTTTCTTTGGTCTTTTTGCTGTCATCATTATGCTGCCTGTGCACAGGAGCTTTACCTTAAGTGAAAGGAACTAGATGGATACCAAGCAGGCATCTTCTGGATGTTGCAATTTCTTTCAGTATTCTGTGAAGTCAGAGTATGTCGTGATGATATTTATTACTACTTGTGTTAAAGAAAATAGCTATGCTTCTGTCAGGACTGGAGTAAGTGGATTGAACAAATGTAATGAGTTTTTAACAGAGCCAATATTTCTTTTCTTCTGTCTACTACTTTTCCTTTAGTCTTCTGTTTGCTTTGTCATTTTCCTGTTTACTGTGCTGGTAAGAGACTTAAAGCTTTTTAAGGCTTATGCCTTGTTGGAGCTGGGAAAAGATTCCTGCAGATGCAGGCCTGTGCCCAGATGAGATGGCTAAAGCAGCACCTGGAAGGTGTGAAGGTGGTCACCTTGGTTGGGAAATTTGGTGTGCCTGTGCTCAGTTGCTGGTGACTGGCTGTTACAGCCTTCTCTTTGTCAGTCCCTCGGATAAAGTAGCTCAGTTCTGACCACCGTTTGCACTAATGCATTTTAATATCATGCAAATGACAGCTGGGGGCGGTTGACCATTGTGAAAACAGTCCTGCTGTTCTAAGTTGTGAACCTTTGCACCTCTTCCCTAGCGTAGGTAGTTTGTGGGGAGAAATAAACCTGTCAGCCTAGCCTCTCTGTAAGCAAAAACAAAAACTAATTGTTAAATTCTACAGCAGTTTCAACATTGGATGAAAGGTAAATACACTGTTTGAACTTTGACTTGGAAATGTGTGTGTTTTTAAACATAGTGACTTCCTTCCCACAGAGTGAAATGAAGTTTGTTCTGAAATTTACAGGGTGTTTTTTCTGAGTCAGACTTGACCTCATCGGTTTCTCTGGTGAGCCTACTTGGCATGTCAGAAAGAAGAGGAAGGGAGTGAAGCTTAAGGGTATACCTGATATGCTGATTCAGAGACAGGATAAGAGTACCTACTTCTCTCCTCCCCCTGTCTTAAGTAGGTTAAGTTGTTAGCACATCTGCAGCCATTTCAGTAGACAGTCTGCAGGCTCTTCTGTCCTCCTGTAGCATCACCTGGCTAGCCCACTTCCATTGGAGCATTGAGATTTGGTTTGTTGCCCTACTTTCCTCTCTCCTCGGTACCAATGTAGAGCAGGCCAGTGATACAGTCACGTGGTGCTTAGGGAGAGGGGATAGTGGGTGGGTGTCTCACCATTCTCTTTTGTTAAGTGTCACAGGCTGATCCCATATGCAAATGTCTGCTCAAGAAAGCCTTACTTTACTCCAGAAAAGGGACAGCAGATGCCTGTTTTCCTGCACCTGAATCTGTAAAGTGCATACTGATTCCTCTGTGTATAAATACTGAATTATTAGAGTGCAGAATAAGAGGAATCAGTAGTAAAGACTTGTCTGTTCCCCATTATAGCATAGTCTAGTCTTTCCACGTGTTCATTTAATCAGAAATACCTTGCCATTGTTAAATGAACAAAAATATGCTTCACTGCAGTAGTACCAGTTGCAAGCCAGCCTTTTTAACAAATACTCTCTCTGTTTATTAGTGATTGGAAATTGCTCTCCGAGGCTGCTGAAGCCATAACACATGCAGACAGTGAGGACTGCAATCAGAATACTGCAACACAACACAGAAGAGAACTTTGTAGGCTTGCTGGCTGTTGCTGGGTTGTTCTTGCTTTTCTTATGCTGCAGACTTGAAACAACCAATAACCAGTTATTAAAAAGCTGGCAGTGTAGTAACAATTATGTTAGTCTACTGTATGAACATACTCACCTCATAAATTTCTTGTGGAGTTCAGAGGATACACCACCTGGTGTCCTTCTCTTGCCAGATGTAATTCAGGCAGTCTTACTGTATAGCACTGCTACTTGCATCTCCTCTTAAGTATCTGAACATACAATGAATAAAAATATAAGGTTATTTTCATGCAGCCTTTTGTAAAGTGTAGCTTTTGCTTCTTTGTCTGAGGAGTAGTGGTTAGACCTTTTTCAAAAAGAAGTAATTCTTGATCTCTGTAGATTTTAATTTTCATTACAATTTGTCATAAATGCACAGTGAGATCTTAATTATGTGAATTTCACTAGACAAATTGACCAACAAACAGTACTACTTTTTGATGCTGAAAGGAAAGAGTATTTTTTCCTAAAGGCAAAAAAGACAGCTATCCATCTTCCTATTAGCCTTCATTTTTTTATTTTTTTTTTTTTAATGATCTGACATCTCATCCTTTCATAACTGTCCTGGTTTGTATTCTAGCCAAAATTGGGAAAGTGGCAGCATTGTAGTAAAAATATGTGAAGACTTCAGGTTGTACCATCCTATGATTATTATTATCTTTATTATCATCACAGAATGGTATGGGTTGGAAGGGGACTGGGGGTTGAAATATCCAAACCCTCTGCCTTGGGCAGGGACACCTTCCACTAGACCAGGTTACTTGAAGCCCCATCCAGCCTGGCCTTGAACAGTTCCAGGGAGGGAGCATCCAAAACTTCTCTGGGCAACGTGTTCCATTGCCTCATCATCCTCATGGTAAAAAATTTCTTCCTTATAGCTAATCTAAATCTATGCTCTTTCTGTTTAAAGCCATTACCTATAACTACAAGTCCTGGTAAAGAGTGTGTTGTGTGTGCCTATCCCCTGCCCTCCACCCTTCCTTTTCCTCTTGGCCCCTTTTCTCCAGGCTGGACAACCCCAACTCTCTCAGCCCGTCCTTATAGGAGAGATGTTCCAGCCCCCTGATGACCTTTGTTGTAGTCCTCTGGACCCATTTGGGCAGGTCCATGTCGTTCTTATGCCAGGGGCTCCCCAGCTGAATGCAGCACCCCAGGTGGGGTCTCACCAGAGCAGAGCAGAGGGGCAGAGTCACCTCCCAAAATGTGCTGCTGGTCACGCTTCTCTTTATGCAGCCTGGGACATGAGTCTTTCTGGAATGTAAGTGTGCATTGCTGGTTCATATTCAGTTTGCTTACTTTCTTTTAACAAAAAATAGCCAAATGGGTCCTCCAACTTGAGCTGTAAATGAGTATTACTGGATACAAGTAAGAAAATGTTCTCACCTCCCAAAATGTGCTGCTGGTCACGCTTCTCTTTATGTAGCCTGGGACATGAGAGTCTTTCTGGAACGTAAAATTGCTGGTTCATATTCAGTTTGCTTACTTTCTTTTAACAAAAAATAGCTAATGGGTCCTCCAACTTGAGCTGTAAATGAGTATTACTGGATACAAGTAATAAAATGTTCTGATGGCCTAGAACAATGCCCACAACAAAATAAGCATTTGTTTTGCATTTGTTTTGCGAAGTTTGACGAGCTGTTCTGGTACTGTATTGTACATGTGAACTTTCAGGTTCCAAACCAAGTGGTGATAAAAATTTACAGTTGTCACCACTGTAACAGAGCTGCCACCAGTTCCCAAATGCAACCTTGTATTTACTGTAACACAGAATTACCAGTCTGTGATTAAATTATTCAGCAGTTCTGTAGTTAAGAAGTATTATCTTGTTTTTCCTGTCAGTAGACAAAGATTTGAGGTGCAGATAACAGGGGGGAAAAAAGACCTTAGGTGTTCACTGGAAAAGATCAAACATTCAGTAAGCCTGAAGTAACTGAATACTTCTACAGACCTCTTGTTAAGCCAAAAGATTGAAAACCATGTGAGCATGAGTCTGTTGAAAATCTTAACTTTGCTCTTAATAACTATTTGGGAGATTAAATACCATGAATGAAGGCTGCTCAAGTGCTGTCCTTGTCCTGCATCCTCTATTCTTTCCCCTGTGATCCACTTTGTCTTTTCTCTGTTACCCCCACATACTTCAAAAATCAAAATTCCTGGAAGCCCTCCCACCAAGCTGCAGTTTTAACAATCTTGTTTGTTTTGTTTAGGTATTCCTGTCTCTCAGCAGCACTTAATTTGGAATAATATGGAACTGAAGGATGACTATTGTTTGAATGATTATAAGTAAGTACAGAATAAAATTGCAATTAACATTTATAAGTTACTGTTGGTATAAGCAGTAGACAATGCTACAGCAATGTGTTTATCATTTACAGCATTTCAGAAGGCTGCACTCTGAAGTTAGTTCTGGCTATGCGAGGTGGACCTATTAACACTAGAAGAGGTAAGTATTAACTCTGTTAAACATGGTGAGTTTCAAGCAACATCTTATAACTGTAAACAGCTTCTCTTAGTTAAGCATTTCAGACAAGCAGACCTCAGTTCCAAATTAATTGGAAAAGTACTTGGAAAAAAGTCCCACTGTTTGTATTATCCTTTCTTCCTTGGGGCACCAAGTGCACAATCCTTTAAATTTCATTTACCCTAAATTTAGCAAATATCTTTGTATGTATAGAATCGTCAAGCCTTAAAATAAGCAGTTTTTCACAAAAAAAAAAATGATACTGTAATGTCATTATACAAATAGTTTTTAAAATCTAGTTGGTATCTATATCTTCAGTGTTGGGAATTCCCATTGTAAACTGAGTTGAGCTCTCAAAGGTGATCAAAACAACACTAGTACTAGTTTGGTTTTATTCTTTTTTTTTTTCCTTCACTGTAGTTCCTGTGGAAGACCCTATCAGGGAAATGGCTGAGTACATGGATCCCACTAGAGATGAGGTCTGGGAGAAAGGGCCACCCAACAAACAAGTCACCTTCTTAGTGTATCGAGAAGGAGATCAGTTGAATTTCTTCCGTGTAGTAGACCGGGGAGACGGCACTTTAACACCATTGTCTGAATCTTTGAGGTAATATAAAGATTAAAACCAACTTTATTCTTTGAAAAGTGGATGCTGTATGATTTTCAGCTTTATTTGTTGACTTTTATCAAAAGAATATCTGGAAAATAGCTGGAATACTGCAAGAATTGTGCCCAGATGCCTAGTAAATGTTGTAATTGGGTGGCCTAACAACATAGTGGTCAGTGATTGTGCTAATTGTAAGCTATGACTGTGTGTCAATAGTGTGAGATAAAACTGACCTTGTGCTTAAGGCAGGTCTCACTGTTCTAGCCCTTTCTGAAACAGAATGCTTCACAAGGAGTCAATTTGGCAATAAAGATATTAAAAACTTTAAGGTACTTTCTCTTCTGTCTTAAGGCACTTGTTTAGTTTTATAAGCATTTCTCTCTGCATGGCATAAAGGTTTTGACCAAATGATTAGTCAGGAAGGTAGCAGATTGGCAGTGCAAAATCCTGAGAGGGTTTGTCTGAAGCTTCAGGGAAACTGGGGGCGGGAGGGCTGTTGGGATTTTTTATTTTATTGGGGGTGGGGTGGCGTTTTGAGGTTTGTTTTTTTGTTTGTGGTTACTTTAATATGCTGATATCATTACCAGTGGAGATAGCCTTTGGACATAATTAGGCCTCAGATTAGCTACTGTTCAGGTACCAAACTTGTCTTGGTCACTGTCACAGAATTCAAGTACTGTTATCACAAAAGCAAGAAAGTCACTTAAGCTACTACATTGCAGTAAATAGATTAGTAGTCTCTTTCTTAAAGCTATCAAAATGGATAATGTCTGTTAAAATTATTAGATTGTCTTTATTCTGCAGCTTTTGAGTAGTTATTTTAATCCCCTGAAGAACTGTAAAGAAGGGAGTCCCTGCTCTGGGGACTAGCTGCATTCTCTCCAAGGCTTGCACTGTTCTAAGTAACAGTTCTTGTTCCTGTTAGCAAAACGGAAGCAAGAAATTTGGACAGGATTTATATTCAATGTGATTCGATGTATTCAGAGTGATATTACTTCTATAAACCTTTGTAAGATGTACTTAAACTACAGTGTGAATGAAGTATAAAGGTTGAATTCCCACATCATTACACAGAGTAGTGAGAGCTAGTGTTGATACACAATTACTGGGGGAAAGAACAAGACAGATAAACATAGTTTAGATCTGTGACTTTATCTTTTGCCCCTTCTGCACTCTTTTTCAGTATATAGCCACATAGGGTACTGTATATGTATATGGGATAGGTAAAGAGCTGAGATCTTTGCTGCTGCGTTGGGCTAGATAGAGTTCTGGAAAGAGGAGCAGACAGGTGTAATTCCTGTTCTCATGGATACCCTGCTTATTTCCAGATTTGTTCACTTTTGCAAAGAACATCCAAATTGATCCAAGAGACTGTGGATGCTATACTGTGAGTTGGTGCAGGGAGTTGTCAGAAGGAGCTTGAGCATGAATTTTTTTTTCTATAATAATCTCCTTGGTACTTGTCTAAAATGTGCAAAAATTCTTGTGTGGGTGTGACGATTGTTTCTCCCCACCCCATTTAAATCTAGCATGGACAATTGTCTGAAGCTATTACTTTTCAGTTAGGTAATCCTAGTGAGTAGGTTAAATAGTCATTTACTTGATATTGGCTAAATGTAGGCAAACGGAGGAATAAACCACACTTTCTTGGCTCTTGCAAGGCATCTTGGTAAGCCTTTCAAAGCACAACAGCATATAGAAAAGTCAAATACATTATGCTTAAGAAACATGCTGTCACTAGTCAGTTGATGCAGTTAGGTTGAAAGCCACCTGAGTTGAAAACATTCAGCTTGAGTTGTTTTTCTTCCTCTGCGTATTCTATGACAGTCTTTTTATTAGCTTTTCTTCTAAGGCAGACAGTAATCTGGGGAAGGGGGAGAGAAATCTGAATTTTTTGAATTTGTTTTTATGGCTGCATCAGACATTGTGGGAAACACAAAAATCAGCAAAGGGAGGTGGGAATGGAAATGAATCATTCATTTGATCTTTACAGAGGAAGGCTGTGAATCACTCTGAATACTGGTGTTTTCCACGCTGACAGTTAAATGGGTTTATATGGGTGGGCATACTGGTGACTGAGCATTCCCAGGTGCTTGTTTATAAGCTTTTCTTACACTGTTTAGTGTGGAGCAGAATTTAGTGACTGTAACTTAGAAATCAGACATTAGTTTGGGTTTTGTTTTATAGTTCTCCAGATAACCATTAACAAAATAGCAGAAAAATTAAAACTTGACAGATTGTAAATGCACTGAAAATTGTCTCTAGATTAAAAGAAAATTGCTGAAGTTGTGGTAGAGGACTGGCAAGCACTGATGTTAAGAGTTTGAGCAAGCTGCTGATTGTTTTTGAGGCACCCATTTTACAAGCAAGATCTCAAGTGTGTTGACACCTATGGACAGAGTAAATTTGAAATGTACTCATAGAAAATGGGCTAAAAGTATCACAAAGCTCCCTGTCCAACTTTTATAGTTTTACAGTCACATTAAAGAGAAAAAATCCTTTTGTTACTACTGATTTGTTTTGTTATTTTAGTAGTTTGGGCTCCTATTTAGCTAGAAAATGCAAGAAAAAGTTTAACAGTTCATTTTGCATATAAAAAAAAGCAACCAAACAAACAAACAAAAAAAAAACCCCCCACCCAATGAAACATGTGAGGCATGTCTTTTCTGTCTTTACCTTGAAGGAAGGGAAGTTCAAAGAATTCTTTTGATTTGGTGACTTAAGTCTTGGCAGAGTTAAAATGCTGAAATGATTCTTTGGTGCTGAATCTTTACCAGGAGATGTACGTAATATGCTGACTATCCCAATATGGAGCTTTTCAGTTTTTGGAAAGGAATGACCAGAATGTTTTACTGACTCTTGCTTTGAATTTGCCGCCGTCGTGCTCTTAATGTTCTGTCTCCCAGCTGCACTGCCTGTGGAATTTTGCTACATTTTTAGGAAATATATTTGGAGAGTCAGTGCAAAAACACTGACTCTTGACTAAGGGCAGCAGAATATTTCCAAGAATCAGGTAAGATGCCAGCTCTAATTAGTGAGATTTATTTTTAGTTTTGGTACATTTTCATGACCTTTAATTCTTCCTTGGTCTCTTTCTTTAGAAACTTTAATGAAACCTACTAAGACATTGGTATGAACACAAGGGAATGGCCCAGTTGTCATGATTTCTAGGTGCTGACAGTGTAAGGGAAGAACTAAAACACTCTTTAAAATGTACTATATACAGTGCTGAAAATGTACCAGTTTGTAACAAGTTGGATGCTCCTAATGGGTTTTTTTTTCATTTCACTGTGAAATGTCAGCTGTGTATTAGTGTTTGGTGCCTCGCCGCTTCATAGGAAAAACATGTCAGATACTTAGAAACATGGAGGTTTTTGTGTTTTGTTAGAATGCAGAATGGAAAAAGGCAATGCAATACTATGAATTTCCAGTGACTGCCGTGTTAAATATTTTGTTTTGGGATTAGCAATTCTAATCTGTTTTATTTTTTTCCAAATGTGTGACTCTGGAAACCTAAACTGATCCTTCTTTTTTTTTTTTTATTTTGAAAAGGAGAAATAGAATATCACATCCACATGGGTGACCCCTCCATTCCCATTTATGGTGAGAACACCCCTCAGGATGGATAGAAAGTTGGACTTTCCTTCCATGCCAGTGTCTGGTTAATTGGAAAACTGATCAGCTTGTTGTCCGAGTCACACAGTTAACAGCTTTGGCCATGTCTTCAGGAGACATTTGTGGAACTGGATATGCCCTCTGTGGGGGAAATATAGTGAGTGTGAACCAACTGTATATGGTATAACAGCTTCCCAGGAGCGTGGCTGTGTTCTGATTTCAGCATCATCACTTTGTGTGAGCATCTTATAAGGAATGCTTATGTGCTAAAATAAATGGATTTGAAATGTCTTTGCATACAGTTTCACATAATGCTTTGTCAACAGATCAGCTGCGGATATGACTTTCTAGTTGTGAGAATACTCTACATTGAAAACAAATTACTTGCTTAGAAGGTGAACACAAACTTTTGTTTCTTTCCAGTGGTGGCTCAGTTTATAATTTATATGCTGATGATGAAGATGAGACAGAGGCATCGCCTTCTGGCCAACAAATTATTGAGAATTCAATTACTATGAATAAAATGAAACTGCTCAAAGCAAAGATGGAGAACATGAATCTGAGTAAAAAGGTGAAGTTGTGATTTCAGTTTTTCTATTGTAAAATTGCTTGCATTTGCCTAGTGTGGGCTTTTCTGAAAAGCAGGTCAGATACTTTGCCATCTTGGGAATTGGAATGATCAAGGGTAGATTATTTCTTAGCTGTGTAAATAAATGCTACTGCATAAATATTCTGCTGTGGGGCACTGGCTTTACTTGGACCTGGCTACCTGTCCACACTCAAAGAATTCACTGCTGGTCCTGGATTCATTTACATTGGCAGCTTTATTGGAATGTGGGGTTTTGGTTTTATTTTGATTGTATTTGGGTGTTTTGTTTTGGTTTTTTTTTGTGGGTGGTGGTGGTGTTGTTTGGGGTTTTTTTGTTTGTTTATTAACATTGTATTACAGTACTGCTCTGGTAAAAAATGGTGTTCTCTCAAACAAAACTTCATTAGAAATATTGTAACTGAAAAGCCTATGAAGTTAAATTTTGAGAATGAAATTACCTAGAAGAAAAAACATCATGTTGATGTTCATATCTAAGTTACCTAGATGTAGAATGACAACGTTTTACTTTAATTGTTCATCTATGAAACCCTTAGCTCTTCTTTATAAATTTTGGTGGCTTTCTGTCTTCCCTTTTCTGTTCCTCTGACACGTGGCCTATTTACTAAAAAGCCTTTTCTGACTATAGTATTTGATGGTATTATTCAGATGTTAGGGTGAATTCTTGATGGCTAGTAATAGATGGAGTACAAAGGGCCTATTTTCTAAAAAGCCTTTTCTGACTATTTGATGGTATTATTCAGATGTTAGGGTGAATTCTTGATGGCTAGTAATAGATGGAGTACAAAGAGTGCTTTGGTCCTTTCTGGTTTTACACGGTCTGAATTCCTGGGAATACGATCTCAGGTCTTTGAATGCAACTGTAATTCAGATACTAATTGTTATTGTATCTGGTTTGTGGTTTTGGTTTTTTCAATAGCCTAAGAAAACAGTCAAGGTGAAGGCTCGTCCTCCTGTGGCCCCGCGACCATCTAGTGGCTCAGTGGCTGCTGCTCGTCACCGGTTTTTAAGAGTGCTCCCACATATTGGACAGTCCTGCCTACCTCCTGCTGGGAATTCATATCACTTGGAGCCTTCCCAAAATGCACTTTCAGCATTGGCTACTTTGGCCACTGCTGGTAGAACAATGCCATCCACAACTAATAACTTCATTAAAGATGATCACACTTGGCAGAACACCTCTTGGTCTCAGTCGGTTGGTAGCATCAGGTTACCACCGAAAATATCTCGTGTGGAACTGGAAAATGCAAAACTGCCTACAAATAGTATTCTGACTCCTGTTTCATCTCTGCCTGCAAATTCAGAAAAAGCATCTGGAAAGGTGACCCCAACAAGTGAGGAGGATGCTGTGTTGTTTCCAAACCTAACAAGTGTAGAGCCATATGGAACAGAAGAAAAACTTGTACCCGAAACAGATGCTTTTGCTTTGTTAACAGAAGCAAGCACCACTGAACAGCGTGGTGAGGTATATGACACAGGAAAGGTGAGCTCAGAACTTGAACTGTCTGATGGAGATGAAGAATCTAAGGTTGTAGAGCAGCATAGAAAACCCATTAGCAAAGTGCTGAGCACTGCAGCAATGGGGGCTGGTCTTCTCAGTACCTGTGAATTAAGTCCTCAGAAAAATCTGCTTTTGTCACCTCTTCGGTATTCGGCGCCAGTGGCACGTCACAGTTCTCTGAAACCACAAGCACAACCCAAATGCTTTGAGGCTGGTAACTTGAGGTCTGCAGCCTCCCCAAACATGCTTCGATCATTGGAAGTCCGTAGCATAGCAGACTCCTCTTTTTCTAGGACTACTAGGTTTCACAGTGTGAAAGTAGAGTCACTTGGCAAAAAACCTGATGTAATTTCTAAAGCAGAGGCTAGGGGCATCACAGATGTGGCTGACAAGACATCCAAAGAACCTGTGAGTTCTGTAAGTAACTTAGGATTTTTGGCTTCGCTGGCCCGAAGCACAAACAGGGAAAGTTTACAGAGTTCCTGTGGGACAGGCAGGTTTCAGACTTCAGGTATTGCACTACCTACAAACCTGCAGCATTTTCAGGACGAAAGGTTTAGGAAAACTGCTCCTCCAAACGAAGCTGCTGAATATATTCTAGTAAGTACTGATGCTTCCAAATTGAAGTTTTCTTGTCTTCTCTGATGCTGGCGTTATGAAAACTCTGCTTTCGTGTGTCTGTGTCTTTCAGGGAAGGTAAATGGGGAGGGGGAGATGTACTTAAATCCCTGGTAGTCTTAAACTGTTTTCTGAATGCCTGTTGGTATCTTAACTGCCTGTTTACGTGAATGGGTATTGGAAGCAGTTTTTCATAAAAATTAAAGTGGCTGTTCAGTTCACAACTAAAATGATTACTGTAATGATGGAATTATGAATGTCTGTGTTTGAAGTGTCATCTGATTTCTCCTGCTGCTCAGTAGTTGTCATTTATTCCAAAGCTTGCCCTGTGACTGGCAGCATATGTGCCTAACTTCAGATCTCTAATGTGCTTTATTTTGTTGTGTTCTGAAGTATGGGGAGACTACTAAATAGTAACTTTGATTAAGGCTTTATATTACAGAATTTTAATTTTGTGTACAGAGGTTATCTTGTACTCTTTGTAGGTACATTGATTGCTAAGTCATTGATGTCAAATAAGCTGATACCAGACTTCTTTTCATTTAATTTCTATCTGCTAGTTTCCTTTCAGAAATTTTTATTTATTTGTTTGTTGTTTTGGGTTTTTTTTTAGTCTGCACATGGGCTTGGAATGAATGGAAGTATGGCAGCCGTAGGGAAAAGAGTAGGTAAGTAACATGACTTAAATAATTGAAGATGGTTCTTTAGTCTTTCTTGTTATCTCACATCTACAGAGGACAAGAATAGTTTATCTTTGTAAGGCATATTTCAAAGTCCTTGCGGTATTACACTTCTCTAGCATGGTATGCCTTAATATTTTAATCAATTCTTTTAACACATGCATGTCATCCAGATCTTAGGTATATGGAACTGACTATTTCATAGTTGTTTTTTTTTTTTAAATGCTTAATGAATCCTGCATATCAACTGTAGACATAAACTTGACTTTCTGCTCTGAATTTTGCAAAGGTCGGTGCTGTGAATAGTTTTGAGTGTACTAAAATCAGAGCCAAATTTATCAGTAGCATTGTCTTTAGGACTACAGACTGAGGCAAAAGGACTTCACTGAAGTGGGGAGGAAACAATAAGGGCATGGATGTGGAAGATTACTGATACAGTGCAGATTTTCCTCATGTGGTGGGCATCATTCTTTCTACTCTAGTCTTCGTAACTGTGCAGTGCTTAATGCTTGACATCTTCTGAAAACTGATGTATCCTGCCTAAATATTAATTTTTATATAATTATGTGGTTAATTCTTTTGGAGGGAATGGGATTGTTCAAATTAGTACTTTTAAAAAGCTTAACATGGTCAGCTAGAGATTCTCACCACAATTAACTTTTTCCTTCATGTATTTTGACTTACACTTCGCAGGTTTTCTTTTCTTTCTGTATGACCTTAGGAAAACAGAGGCAGACCTGTATTCCAGGATTTTAAGATCTAGGTGTTGGGAATGAGCTAGAAGATAGATCTTGAAATAACAGCTGCAACTGGAAAAATGATGTAATTGTTGTGATGTGGGAGCAAAAGCTGCTAAAATAGTGGTTTGTGCTTTTGTTTCACAACTAGGGGTGCAGCTTTAAACTGGCAGTCAGTTAATAAACAGGTTTGTCCTTGGTGATACTCTAATAGCTGTGTCTGCATGAGGGGGAAGCCTACTGTCATCTGTGCCATGTTGGATAGAACTGTGACAAAGACACTCCTCTGATGTCTTTTGTCAGACAAAAGTATGTGTTCCTAAAGCTTTCAGACATGTGTCTGGAGAAAGCTGGTGTCATACCATGCAGGCTCTTTAGAGAGAGGTGGCTGATAACAGTCTGTTGTAAGTTGAATCTGTGCTTGGGCCAGTTGTACATGTAACTGCAGTAGAGACCATAAACGTTAGGGCTGGTGTATTGTTTTTCTTGTCTGTGTGATCCACGGGGGGAGCAGTCTTCAAGCTCTTGTCTTTTTCACAGACTAGGCTAGCTGATGCTCCTGAAGTGGTGTGCTTTTAGATGATGAAATCGATGGTATGGAGAGGCGTTGCCTGGGAGTTTTGATGCTGGGTAGTGGTGGGACAGCACAGGTTGGTAGTGGTGCCCACAATGTGTAGTGGCTGCCTGGTGTTACTGCTGAAGGTAGCCTGCTGTACTGCAGCTGGGAAACGACTGTTGGGATTAAAGACACATTGTACAGAAAATACTTCTGAACTCAGGAGGTCACTTTTTGGGAGGATCCTGACGATGTAATGGTAGAAGCACTGAAAGAATGTTTGAGAGGATGCGTTGCTCACTTTCACTGTCATGGCATATGGTAAATATGCATAAGCAAGTTGTGGGCAAAGAGCTTGCTTCTACAGAGGGAAGGCAGGTGCCTTTTCTTTATGTGCTCTCCCGTTAATAAAGCAACAGCCAAGAACTGCAGGGCAAAACATTGAAGAAAAATAAAAATTTAAGTACAGAAATTTTGCAAACACCCACAAATTGCCGTATGAAACCATAGCTAAATAGAAGCCTAAAATCTAATAATGTATTTTTCTTGCAACTATGGAGTACCAGCAAGATTTTAAAATGTTGTGGTATCTATTTGATAAACTTATTAGGTACTGAATACACTAGATGCTAGGTACTTGAATGCCCAGTTGATTGTTTGGAAAGATGTGGTTGGGAGAACACTGCAAACATTGTGTTTTCATTTTACGCTTGGCGCAAGACCCATTAGGAGAGTTGCTTCTTGATTTCATCTGTAACTTTTTGTCAACTTTTAACAGGTGTTACAAATGTAAGTCCCTGGTTGTGCTGCCTGTTCCAAAGGTGTTCATAAGTTGGAGGTGTGTTTTCTGTTTTGGCTTTTTTTTTTTTCTCCACTGTATTTAGGCTTTGGAGTTCCCACCTGAAGTATCCTAAGAAATGCAAAATCTATCCGGGTTTCAAAAGATAACATTTAACTAGCTTGTGATCAGGAATAAATAATTTTTTTTTTTTTTTTTCCTGTCTTTCTGCCTCTGAAAGCAGGTGAAGCAACCCATCTTCCACCTGTGAATGGCTCAATTCAAGTGAAAAAGAAAATTACAAAGCATTGCTTTCTTTGTGGCAAGAAAACGGGATTAGCAACCAGCTATGAATGCAGGTAGGCTGAACGTATAACCAGCTGTTGTTTAAAATGGATAGCTGGGTAATTCAAAAAGTTTTCCTATGCTGCATGGTATTTTTTAAGTGTAGAAAATCAAAAGACAACCTTCAAAGAAGTTGCAATTCTCAGCTCAGCAAAACTCCAGGAATGAAAATTCAAGAATGTTTGTAGCTGTTCTGCTGTTGAGATGTATATTCGCCAGGGAAAATCAAGAAGTGCAAGGTACCATATACTGGTGTGGGGGAGCTTGCTACAGATCTGCACTGCAAGCTTTCTCAACAATAATTATATGGTTAACAACTTGAGGAAAAAAATTATTTTGTTACATTTTTCAGAGAATCTCCCTTAGATTTGGCCCTATTGCAACATATCTGTAAAGTTTGTGAGTTTGCACAAACTTGTATTTGACAGCTTCTTGATTTTATGTGTATTTTGTTTCTTGTGAAACTTGGTCATCTTTGAACATCTAGAGCATCTCAAAAGCAGAATGCCAAGATGCTGATCCCACAAATCATGAGTTGCAGACAACACATGAGACCTGGCACTTGCTGATGATCTCTGGAAATAAATAAATACATTTAAAAAAAAAAAAAAAAAAGATGACACAGAAAAACACCAACCTGGTTTCTTTGTTGATCTTGATTCCCATAGTATTATTTCCCCCAGGACATTCTTTTCTCAGTATCATTTCCCATGAGCTAGTGAAGACTGGGAACTGCTGCACTGAGAGGGCTACTTTTGAAGCTGATCTTGGCTTGTGGCAATAAAAACCAAAATGAACAAGACTTCTGCCACTGAGGAATTGTGTTGGAGAGTTTCAGGGTGAGGAACTGCCTCCTTACTGACTCTTCAGCTTTTTATTTTTTCCAAGTAGTTTTGGATACTGCATACTTTCCTGCTAGGAAATAGCTGCAAGATCTTCTAGAAGTAACTAAGCAGCTTGCTTAAGGTTAAAACTGAAGCATGAAAAAAGGGGGGAAATTGCTTACCTCCAAGAACAGTAGTATTTGTTCTAGTTTCAAAAGAAACAACCATATGAACCTGTACTAGAATGGAACATGAACCAAATAGAGAATACAGTGATATGGGATGACTGGTGGTTATAGGACCAGAAGCAGAGAAAAACAAATTACCAGGCACACAAAGCCTTAGCAGCAGCAACAGAGTTTATTATGAGCCCAGATAGATAAATAAAGGTTTATAGTCTAATAGTATGACAATAATTTGGAAAAGTAATGCTTAATCCATTTCAAGAGAATTCTGATTTTGAATGATGTCGTCATTTTACTATCAAGAAACAACTTTATAAAGTCATCAGGCAACAGGACATCCGTGTCAATCTCCACATAAGGCACTTGTCTGGATCAGACACAACGTCCAGAGAGCATGCTTTCCTCCTGTTAGGACTCTTGGCTCCTGAGTTTTCTAATCTGAAGGGAAAAATTATAACCACAACTCAGATTGCAGCTGTGATTGGAAAGATGCACACTCATCCAGTCGTATAAGAAATCATGTTCCCTGTCGCTTGATGGTTTTTACTGCTAAGTCTGTATTTATTTAATCTCAAATGACTAATTGGAGTTTATGACAGACAGAAGTTGAGCTCAACTAAACGTCTGGTTTGGTGGTATTTAGTGGTTGGTGTTTCTTAATTGAAATGCATTATCTGGATTTCACCTGTTGCCATTATTTTAGTTCTGCGGTTTTGCCCTCTGAATTTTACCAACTGATGTTGTGTGAGGTCTTTAAAAAGAAATTAAATAAGTCAAAGCCCATAATTCTTAATTTTTAAGTGTGTTTAATCGTTGCTAGCTGGTTCCAGGAATACTGATCTTGCTTAACTTCCCAGATGAAGAGACTGTTGGGTCAAAACTGCAACATTTGGTTAGAAAAGTGTCATTTTTATTACTTTGCCAGTTAATGTAATCAGTTAAGGATGACTGGAGTCCAAGCAGTTATGTTAAATAAACAAGGTGATTTAAGCCAAAGGGCTTCTAGGATGTCAGAGAGTTAAAAGCTTCTAAAAGCTTGTAACTTCTAATATTCTTGACTCTTCAGATGTGGAAACAACTTCTGTGCAACGCACCGCTATGCAGAGACTCACGCCTGCACCTACGACTATAAGAGTGCAGGGCGAAGGTATTTGCAGGAGACCAATCCCGTCGTCAGTGCACCAAAGCTTCCCAAAATCTAATGTGGTTCTGCTGCATGTGGCTGTTCTGCCATTGAAGAATTGTATTACACTGAGAGAAGCTCTTGCTTAAACTGCATAATTTTGCCATGCTCCATATTTAAAGATTTGCCAAGTAACAAAAGCACATGAGGATGCATCCTATCGAAGAACAGTGTGAGCACTACTGCTGTTAAAACTTTTCTTCTTTAGTGAATGGAAAGTTAAATATTAATTTTTAAAAACTTACACTATGAATTAACTGTTACTGCACGTCTTGTGTTGTGTTTTATATTTGGAAAAGCTATTTCACTAGACAAGTCTTTAAAAGATGCACTTTACTAACTTTATTTACTGTATAAGCAGACTTGAGGGGTTGTTATAATGAGGATGTCATGTAGTGTCTTGCGTTTTTTTTGTCCATGGCGTGCTATGTCCTAAGTTATTTCACTACAAAGATACTCCTCCCTGCTGTTTCTTCAAACAGTCTATTTTGAGATTTTTTTTTTTCCTAAGGGGATAGTGTGTTCTGCCCCTCTGTTCAGATTCTGTTCAGATTGATATTCATGCACTGTGTATCCTTTCTGAAAATTACAAATGATGTTTATCACATTTTCTTAAAATAATACTGTTTATATTTTTGTTTTTAAATAGATCCCCCCTTTGTTGTCATTAAATATAAGGAACAACTTATTTTAACTTTTTTGTAACCCTAGATTTTTTTAAGACTTCTTGGTTTGTTAAGATGTTGAATGCTGTTACTGGGAGAAATTCTAATAAATCTTAAATTTTATTCTGGTTTATGCTGTTATAAATGCACACAATGTTTCCTGTCTTACAGCATGCTCCTAAATTAAAAGTTGGGTGGGACTCCTTTCTCCCCCCTTCCCACCCAAGAAGTCCTGGCTAATACTGGAAAATTCCCACTGACTTCATTACGATTAGTGTGACCAACACTGTGCTTTCAGTAAACCTCCTGAAGTCTTACAGATCTATGAGCAAAGGCAAAATGGGTGTTCACCAAGTGGCATGTATTAACCTGCAGCCTTTCTCCCCTCCAGCTGATCCAGTACAAAGGTGGTTCAGCAATTGCATGAGACACCTCTCATGAGCATGCAGCTCTAACGAGCTACTGCAGAAAGTGATGTTGGAAGAATATACCTACTGAAAGCCTTTCCTCTTTCATTCCCTTAATGCTTCATGTGTTCTAGTATAAACAGATTAATAAAAAATCTACAGCAAACCACCGAAACAAAAGAAAGCCCTTCACCTTGCATCTAGACAACTGAATGTCATGGTCCTTTCTTGCCAGAGTCCTCAACTACTTAGTTGGTTGTGGTATTAAAATGATCTATGCTGTGTTTCAGTCAAACAGTAGCAGCTACTGAGCATGGCAATCAAAAGTTGAGCAAAAAAAAAAGATCATTGAAGGAGAGAGAAGTAACTTGAGAACTTCTCATCCTTAGAGGAGACCTACTTCATGTAGTCTACCTGCAACTTCTTAAACCTCCTGGAGTTTTTCAGAGAAGGTTGACCTCGGGGAAAAAAAGATTTTTCAAAATCTTTCTTCCAGGCAGTGATAAGGTAAGAAGATAGTTCTATGTGGGTGTATGACTCCTAGGCTTATTTTTACTGGACAAAGTTGCATCTAGTGTAAAGAACATGGTGTTACTGAGCAGTGATATATCCCTGTAGTTCTTAGTTCATCTCCACTGTGGGACAATATTTAATGCCAAAAGAAAAGAATAAGGAGCAGAGCAAATGTACTAGTGTTTTCCCAACAGTTATTTATTTGCAGCTCAGTAGCTTTCTTAACATGAATTGGTCTTTTTGTAGGTGGAATAGAGATTAGGTAAGAAGCAGAAGTCAAATAATATTTGCTATCATCATTTAATCTGATTTCACATAATTGTCAGGAAATTATTTTGCAGTGTGTTAGAATGGCCATAATAAAATTTTAGTAAGACCACGTAACTGAGATATGTGGCAGGAAGTCTCCAAGTCAGATCTCAGCTGTGACTCTCCCTTTCTATATATGCATAATGAAGTGCATGACAATACTTTCCAGGAAGTGTAAATGTAGTCATAATCTAATTTCCACATGTGTTACTTCTCAAAGTTTTTATTATACATCATTTTGCTTGTACCCCATTTTGCTTGTACCCAATACAGACATTTCTTGTGCAGAACACTTCTAGGTTTTTGTTTTCTTCATCTCCAGTACTGTTACAGGCACTCTTATTTCCACTCAGTAGTACAGCCTTAATAACACCTACATTTGTAATTAACTGGTTTAGTTGCTAATTTATTTGCTATCGGGTTTTACCAAATCCTGTGTTAGACTGTGCTATGGGTTAATTACTGTTTACTGTGTAAACTTACCTAAATGGTTTGGTTTTCTTAGTATTGGTGCACTGTGGTGCTATGCATCTGCTGTAGACAAATGTTTAGCTTTTTGTGTATTTGTTCATGTAATTAGATTGTATCATAAAGTATTTGCATTATGGAAGTTTAACAATGACTTTGGTGTGTGCTTCTCTACCTTCCTGTCAAATATTTTTTATGTGCTTCTTTTATATTTGAGGACCTGTGAGCTATAACCAGGCTGGTCTCTTGTGGAATGGCCTCTGAGATTCTTGTGTCAAATTGATAAGTGCCACAGATGTCAGAAATGGTTTTGGATCTTGAATGAAACATTTATTTTCTCTGAAACCCAGAAGACCATGGTGATAAAAATCCGTTCACAAATCCCATCACTATTCAGTTTGCAGTCCTCAGGGATGTACTTGCACTGGTGCCTTCTGCTAACAATCTTCAGCTGTAGACAAGGCTAGAATTGTTTATGCTTTATATGACAAAAACAGTGTCTTTCTAGCTTTTTTACATATCATGAATTTAGGTACTTTGGTTTCTTTTCGAGTACTTCCCACTTTCATAATGGGGCACTGTCTTCTCAGTTTAAGTCGTGGGTTTGGAGTTGCTTCTGCCTGTAAGGAGTTGTTTCCGCCTGTGGCTTTTATTGGGTCACGTTTTCACAATTTTTATGTAAATCAGGTTCATCTTGAAATATGTTTGACATTTTCTCTGGTGTCTATATTAGCACTGAACCATGGTTGCTCACACGAGGACATTCATGTAACTAAGAAAGCCATGTGAAGCTGTGGTACAATTATGTGAGCCTGTGCTGCTTCTGGTTACTGTAGTTCCCTGATTTTAGTTTAGGGTAGCTCTGCAATGTTTCTAATGGTTGGAGTGTTGGGTGGAAAACAATGAAAACTGCTATTTCCCTCCTGTAGTTGCTGTCCTGTTTAAAGGTCAGCACCTAAAACCCCAGAAGAATAGAAAGATGAACTTTGGCTTTTTCTAGTGAAGCAGGTGTGTTCAGATACTGTGGATGTAAATTCTTGGGTTTTAATATGTAGAATTGTAATTATTCAGTTTCTCAGCAGAAGCTTACCAAAATAGTCTGTTTTCTTTAGCTGGTTTCAATTCCTAGTTTATATTTGATGTTTCTAAGGTTACTTGTGTTACTTGGTTACAGGTTGAATGTTGCAAGCACATCTGTGCACAGGTAAAGGGACATTCCTTTTCACAATATTAGTTTTTATGCTTTTCTAGATGGACTCTGAGTAAATATGCAAATCAAAAGTTTTGCAAACAAAATGTTTTAACTAATCAGAAAAGCTTTTCTACCCCTTTTGCAAGAAAAGAGCAATTGCTTGACAAGATAAGGAGGGTTGCATTTCATCCATGACATATTACACAAAGGCCAGGAGATGTTAGTGGAGACCCCAGTCTCAGAGCCAATCTGGGATAAAAAGTCAGACATACAAAAGGGGGAGAGAACTATGTATTTCTAATGATACTTGGGCTGTTGCTGGTTTTGACCTATTTTATATTCCTAGCCTGTCTTTATTTCCTAATCAGGCTTCTTTATTTATCAGGTAGCCTTGAGCAAAGTATTTCAGCAAGCTGGTCATTGCTGTCCCCCTCTGCTTTGCATGAAGTGAATGCTTGCCTTATTTTCTTTGTTTATTAAGGTGGATGCTTGCCTTATTTTTTCTCTTGAGGTAAATCCACTAGTCCCTTCTTATTTTGAATTTGCAGCCATAGGTTAAAGAAGAAGGCCTTTAGCTCTTTGGACCTACTGAGATCCTACAGGGCTTTTCCTGATAAGAGTTTCACTAAGAGTTGTATGGTTAAACAAATTCTACTTCAAAGCCTTTCCAGTCTTTCAAGAATGGCATGCCAGATTTTCTGTATATTTCTTCTCGTAAGATCAACCAGCCCCATGTGAATCAACTCCTGGAGACAAGTTCTTTTCTGCAGCTAAGTAATTCCATGAATAAAAACCCAATTGTAACCAGTTTCTCTTGGGACCACAATTTATATCTTATTAAAAGGACTCAAAGGCACTTGTTTCAAAGCTGTCAAATGCGTCAAAAGGAATGCAGGATTTAAGAAAACTGCAAAATGCAATAAGTCTTGTCAATATGTGAATCTCTGTCTATAGCTTAGGTTCTACTTATTCCAGCAATCCCTTTCCCTGCCACATGCACAGATATTCAGTGGCTGAGGGACTGCATTTTCAGCTCCTCTGTGCATCAGTCTTCATCTTTTTTTTCAGTGAGTCCATGAGTCCATTTTTTCAGTATGTTTGGGTTGCTTGTCAAAGCAACCATGTAGTTTTTTGCTTTTATATTCTTTTATGGCCATTTTGTGCGTACGTCCTGGAAAGTATTTTCCCTCAGGGCATTGTTTTGCCTTTCCCGTTAACAGTTCTTTAGGGAAAAAAAAATAAATCCTTGCATAAGCAGCAGTTTAATAACCTATCTACAGAAGTTTGCATAAAGAAGGAAGACAGCTGCTTCCTAGCTTACTGTAAGTCTTCAGTGGAGTTCATTGGTACTATGTCTAATTTGAAGCCATTTCTGCTGGCAGTGTTCAGTGTAAGAGACAGGTTTTGTTCATTCTGTAATACCATACTGGAATGAAACTTGTCTAGCAATCAGATCTTTTTCACAAATTATTATAAGCATCAGTCTGCAAAAAAATAAGGGCATCAAGAAGTGTGGCCCACTAGTTTGTTTAGAACTTTTCTGTTACATAGTGACTCTGTGGCAGAGAACTTGGTGTTTGCTTTCTGTGTGAAGCTGCACGGAAGAGACACCAGGGGGCAGCGGAGGCATTCAAGAGCAAAAGTTATGATTTTTGTCTAATGAAGAGATTTACAAAGAAAAGTATAGATAAGGAAAGCGGTGATGACTTCATTATGACCATTATTCAGTCCACTCTGAACAGATCTGAGGAGGTCAGCAGTAGCATGTATGTTCCTTCCCTTTTCTTAATTCCAAAGTTTGTAAAAAGAATGGAAGAGTGCCTCAAAACCACGATTGTATACTGGTTTCTATCACAGAATCAC